GATTTTTATTTATTATTACTTTTGTCAGTTTCAAGTTATTTCAGTGACCATTGTGGGTTTTTCTTTCTTTAACAGAAGGGTACCAACAATTTTGTCCATGTGTGTGTATACATATATAAAAGTCCATTCTCCGTGTATGTGGCTTCAAGTTTCTACATCACACTGTACAAGTTGCATACTGGACCAGGTCAGTGTACAGGTGTCCCAGGTTAGACTTGACTAATTTCAACCACCTTTTTTTGATCATTAGCATAATTAATGCAAATTGTTTTGTGAGGCTGCCTGTTCTGCTCCATTTGTGGGCAAGTTTTATGTAGGTCCTGCTGTCTTAAATCAGCAGACGAAAACATAACAAAGTTAGTGGTGATATTAGGGGACCCCAAACAATTATAAAATATTACTACTGCTGCCAATGATGTGCCATTAGAGCTGTGTCGTACTGTGACAGAAATAAATAGCAAATGGTTTGACATGAAGTTAAATGCCAAAAGAAATCTTGCTAAAGCAAAGCAGCCCGTAGATAGAAAGTCAAGGTGTCGTGACAGTCACAGAAATAAACAAGAGAATATTATGCAGCAGATGTTACACTGGCAGTTGTTATACTGCAGGATGTTCCCTGCATGAACACCCTGAGGCAGCTGTCAGGCCCAAAGAATTTTTCAAACCAGTATTGTGATGCCAAATTATGCCCAAAAAGAAAGAATTGTTTATATCCAATTTTTTCAGTACATTGGCATGCCATGATGATGATGATAATATGATCAACAGTATATTAATGTTGCATGTTTATTTATGTATTTTTATTTTTGTTGACTTTATTAACAAGTGGTTCTTGTATGAGACTCACTGTGTGGATCCTTCAGGTAAAAAAAAACATTTCCTTCCTCATAAATCATTTGCAAAGGCCTTATTTTTATCTTTTATTCTTTACATCAAAGATATATAATAAGAACTGGATACCGAACTCCAAGATGGCGCCTATTCATTCCAATGAAAATTGCTTGGCGCATACACCAAAAAAGTTTTCTTGCTACTACGTTTACTTCCTGGGTATGTGGCCCACAGAAAATATGCAACGTAGTGTTTCTCTTCTTGTCCTGCCTGTGAGTTCCCGCTCAGCCTATAGACTTTACATAGTGATGGCATCACAGATTTTTCTCAGCTCAAGGTAAGTTTTACAAATAGAAAACCTCAATGGATCAAAAACACAAGTTAGTCAGTAAAGAGTCATAATTGACCTTGTTTGCCGTTCAAGTTGTCCTGTCAACAGTTTTGCAGACATCTCTTTTATAATGGTAGTCTATGGGGAAAATTCAATTCAATTTTATTTGTATAGCGCCAATTTATAACAAATGTTATCTCAGGACACTTTTCAAATAGAGCAGGTCTAGAACGAACTCCTTATAACATTGCTCTTTAGGCCGCAGGGGAATGTTTTCACTGCAGTACCGTAAGTGGACACTGGGCAAAACTGGAAGCAAAGGCTGAGTGGTGCTGCCCTATATAATTCTACAGTATATCTATGGTTTGCATTCATGTTTACAGGGTGCCCTGGTAGAGCCTGGTAGACCCCCCCAACCCCTAACGCTGATGACTGTAGTGTAAACAAAACGATGTCTACCAAGCAGATTTGTCAGGCTTTGTCAGGCACATGGCACACTTATTGTAACTTTTGATAACCATTGTGCTGTTAAGTGATCGGTTGTTGATTGTATACACTATTGCTCACATCTGTCCTGCGTCTACACTGTAACTGGTAGTGGATAGTCAAACTGACAAAAAAGCAGATCCTTTCTTTTTCCAGACACAGGGAGGATGCTATTTAGACTCAAGTGAAGCCAGGCACAGCTCAGCTTTTTCACTGTTTATGCCTCCTATCTGACCTGCTCTGTGCTTTCTCTTCTGGAAAGAAATGTTTATTTCTCTCATTTGAACTGTTTTGTTTCTCTCTGTCTCTGGCACCAGTTGAGGAAACTCATCAGTGACTTCTCTATCTTCATGTCCATCATGACGTTTGTGGGGCTAGATATGCTGTTGGGACTCAAAACTCCAAAGCTAATCGTCCCCACAGAGTTTAAGGTACAACAGTTATTTTTCTTTTTTAGAAATATGATAACTGTAATATAAAACTAGCTGATCTCTAGTTTTTGACAGGATGATTGACAGAACTGATAAATAAGCTTTTGTTTTGGTTGACAAACGAATGCTTTCACGATTAAAGGAATGTTTTCAAATTTTGCAAAATACGCTTATTTGCTTTCTTTTCAAGAGTTGAGATGAGAAGATCAGTACCACTCTCATGTCTGTCCATTAAATATCAAGCTGGAAACAGAAGATGGTTAGCTTAGCTTATCCTAGCATAGCACAAACAGAAAACAGGGAAACAGCTAGCCTCACTCTTTTTGAAAGTAAAATAACCTGCTGACCAGCCCCTCTAAATCTCCAGCTTGTGATTTGTGGTTGGTTAGGAGTAGTCACTTCCTGGACTCCTGTAGTCACTGTGAGGTTGCCTGCCAACCGGCATATTTGTAAATGGGGCAGGCAAAACATTAGAGATACCTCTCAGTATAATGCAGTCCATTTCAGCACTACTGCAAACTCCAACCTCAATGACACTCTCTGAGTGTCAATCAAAATTGAATGTCAGTATCTTTGTAGGATTTATGGCTGGGCTGTTTGTATTAAATTGCATTAGATTTTATAGATGTACCTAATAAAGTGGCCTGGCTGCAGCTGTCCCCCCTCCTTACTGTCCTGTAGCATCATACTAAATGGACAGATATGTGAGTGGTATCGATCTTCTCATCTAACTCTCTGCAAGGAAGCAAATAAGAGTATTTCTCAAAATGTCAACCGATCCAGATACTGGTTGAAAATGTCTTGTATTGATCTTATTCTTTATAAAATGTCCATGCACCATTATGTAAATGAACTGCTTGTGGAAATAAAGTCTCCCACTCCCAATTTCCCACCAGCCAACTCGACCGGGTCGTGGCTGGCTGGTGATGCCATTTGGTAAGAACCCGTGGTGGGTTTATTTGGCCAGCTTCGTCCCTGCCCTCCTCGTCACTATCCTCATCTTCATGGACCAGCAGATCAGTGCAGTCATTGTTAACCGCAAGGAGAACAAACTTAAGGTATGTGTGCTACTGCTATACATTGCTTACAATTATAATAATTACTGATAATAAATTTAAAAAAAATTCAAAAAGCTCTAATTAAAAAAGTCCTAATTAGACATCAAATTCACATTTGAGTTCCCTTTTGTTGTATTTATGGATGATAGAGATCTTTCATAATTCTAAAATTATATCATTGCATGTTGTTACCCCTGATAAATTGCATGTATTCCATTTATAAATCATATTTATTTTTTAAGAAAAATATAACAAAACAAGGCCTATCATCCCAGCCTGATGAGGTCTATAAAAATGATCTGTGTCTGGTTTCCCTGGCAGAAAGGCTGTGGCTATCATCTGGATCTGTTGTGGGTGGGCGTCCTAATGGCTGTCTGCTCTTTCATGGGCCTGCCCTGGTACGTCGCTGCCACTGTCATCTCCATTGCCCACATCGACTCTCTGAAAATGGAGAGTGAGTCGAGCGCTCCCGGAGAACAACCTCAGTTCCTCGGGGTCAGGTTGGTCACAGTACAAAAAACACAGACCACAGGAATAAAAAGAAAATTGTAACTTAATCCTTAATCTTCAGGCTGCCACTGGCAATATCACAGTATGAGAGCAACACCTTGCTAAGTCCTTTGTATTAGAAATAGAGAGAAGCCTTGTGAACTTGACTTGACATACTCTTATGTACATGTAATCAATGTCCAATATACAGAGAACAAAGAATGACAGGCATTTTGGTGTTTGCACTCACCGGAGTCTCCATCTTCCTCGCTCCAGTACTTAAGGTATGAAGTACACGGTGGATGAATCACAGCGTTTGTTGTCTTTTTGTCCAGCATGAACAATACCTGTCTTTGTTCTGTGTTTCCTTTTGCTTGTAATCATGGTTGTAATGGAAGGCAAAGCCATCTAAATTCAGTTCACTCATCAGTTGGAACTGACAGGATTAAAACCTGAATAAATGCTTTCCTGACAATATAACAGATTTATTATATTAACAGATATTAGTGGTCAGTTTTAAAAAAACATTTTTCTTCTTGTGGTCAAGTTGATCATCTATGTTACTATTTTCACTACATCCCCACAGAACCCCAAGAGAAAGTGTTCAATATTATAAATAAATTAGACATTGTGAAATAAAAAGGTAAGATATATATTGTAACCAACAAATTGTGAAAGAGATCATGTTTATTTTATTATAATCTTTTGAATTTGTGTGCCACCTGTTGTTTCGTGTCACATTTTATGACGGTCATGTTGTGTCTCATGCCCCTCTTAAAGGTCCAGTGTGTAACATTTAGGAGGATGTACTGGCAGAAATGGAATATAATATTCATAGGTACGAGTTTTGTGGCCGCCATAGTTTCTCCAACATGCTTGGAAGGCTGAGCTATATTTAGATAGTTGCAATCTGCAACTTCACCTCTTAATCCTACACACTGGTCTTTAAAGCATTAAAAAGTTGCTAACAAATGTAACCAATTAGCTCCAGTTAGCTAAAGCAACCACAATGGCATAGTGAGTATGAATTAAGCAAGTAGGGACTGTAAATAAATACACTACACAAACTCAGTAATTGGCCTCTTCAGTTACCTACCGCCTTCTTTTATTGAACTGCTAACGTCATCATGCACCAATCAAATGACACAAGCAGCAGAGGTCAACATACTAGTAAAAGAAAAATGTGATTTAATAGTTTGTTTTTTTGTGGCATATAAGTCAGTCCGATGTCTTCATATATGAATATTATTTCAGCCGTAATACCCCACCTAGCCCCTCCCTCCCTCCCTCCCTCCCACCACTGTTGGCTCCAGCTAACAGGGAGGTGCTGGCTAAATAAGGCAGCATTTTGAAATAAAATGTGATAAAAAATAATAGTGTCATTAAGAAAAAGGCATTATGATGAAAACTGACCTTTGAAAAAGAACATTTCGAAATAAAGATTTCTATGACAAAAAGAATGAATGATAGTAACGTTTACTATAATTGAGGTGAGTTTGAATTATTTCACAATGTATTTGTTCATTTATAAATGCTATACAATTTATCAACTGGATTATTTATATCATAATTTATTTGCTATTAGACACTCCATACATCACTGCCTATAGTGTTGGCAATCTAGAGGCTGTTTGGAAGTGCTTTACAATAACTGTACTGTTCTGTACTGTTCTGTACTGAAATAACTAATGTTTTCTCCCTGCTGCTTGTAGTTCATCCCCATGCCTGTGCTGTACGGTGTCTTCCTCTACATGGGCGTAGCTTCCCTCAGTGGAATCCAGGTACACTGTGTGCCAGCTGTTGATGTTGTTTATCATAATAAATTGAGTTATTGTGGCTGGATATCTTACTTATTGCATTTTTGACAGCCGGCGGGAAATGGCTTATTTAAAGCTGCCAAGCAAACAAACAAGGAGGCAGAAAGGCAGGCATGATCCGCAGTGTGCTCACAGACTGAAGAGACAACAGAATCATATGACAAAATAAAAGTCTGGGGGGATTTGTTAGCAGCTCCTAAATTTTGTAAAAGTGCAAATTGTGTGAAATGGAGAAACAAGATACCAAACTCTGGATATATAAACTGCACCTGTGGATGGCTGTGTGTCAGTGTATGTTTCTGATTGCCAGGTGTCTCATTATAATATCCAATATCGAGAGTAACAATTACAATCAGAGGCGCATTTAGATGAGTTGAAAAACCTATAGCTTTGGGGTCGATGAGTTTGTGCTAGAGCAGGTGCTCCTGAAAAGTAACTTTCCACCAACTCACTGCACAGGCAGACTGAGCTGTGACGCATACAAATCCACCCAAATAATTTGGGATTAATCATTCATATAGGTCTGCATGTAATTAACCTGTGCCACTCAGACCTTTTGCTCTTCTCTCCCATATCTCCCTCGCCCTCTACAGTTCTGGGACAGGATTAAGTTGTACATGATGCCATCCAAGCACCAGCCCGACTTCTCCTACCTGCGTCACGTTCCTCTGAGGAAGGTGCACCTGTTCACACTGGTCCAGATCATATGTCTGGCTGTGCTCTGGATCCTCAAATCCACCTTCTTGGCCATCATCTTCCCTGTTATGGTATGTGATAAAATACATTTGCAGCGCAGCTTTTGATGACTTGTTGTATTGTGGGTGTAATAAGAGAGGCTGCTATTTTGAACGCTTTTAACATGCATCTTGTGTGATCAGATAATTTTATATAATTTAGTAGCACAAGGCATGAAATCAAGGATTTTGCCAGGCATCCAGGATGCTTTGAAGATGCTCCAGTAATCATTCTTGCAGAGATCTAACCAGCATTTTTTCAATAAGATATCCATATCGAAATTGATTGTTAGGATGTTAGCAAATATAAAGAAACATGACAGAGGTTTAATGCCAACTTTAGTGTGTAAAATTGAGTGTTAATGTTAAGAGAGGAAGTTATCTGATTTCACTGTGTATACCAGTGATTCATGTCATTAACAAATGCTTAATCCTACTCAGACCATATGAGATGAATGTTAATGGGAGTTAAAACAAGGCCTGTGTATCACTGAAGCTCTGTGCCAAACCCTCAGATCCTGGGTCTGATGGTCGTCCGAAAGATGCTGGACATGGTCTTCTCCCAGCACGACCTGGCCTGGCTGGACGACCTCCTTCCTGAGAAAGAGAAGAAGAAGAAGGAAGATGCTAAGAAGAAGGGGAAGGAGAAGGATAAGAAGAAGTCCAAAGCAGACGACAGCGAGGAGGAGGTGAGAAACTCGAGCTTCTGCTGCCCCCTGCAGGAATGATGGGTCATGACACAAGTTTCTGATGATCTGTGTTTGTGCGTGTGTGTGTTTACTTGCAGGACAAGTCCCACCCCTACTCCAACCACTCACCCAGCTCTGAGTCAGACTTGGATCGCAGGTACTGTGTCCTCAAACTGCACATCCCCTACAAAGATCTCGTCTACCCTGATGTTGTACAGTCTGAGTGGGGAGCGTACTGCCAGGCTGCTGCCACACACAGTGCTCTTTAACAGACACGCTCATCCTCTATTACACAGACATAGATAGGTACCTATTGTGTATCCTATGTGCATGGGAATATTTTGATCATACACAATAAATGTATACAAATTAAAGGGTCAATTCAAAGAAATTACAAAAAGAAGCTATATTTTCCCCCTTATCTCTAGTGATACTTACTGAAACACTGAGATATTTTTATCAGTCAACCAGCTCATGTGGAATAAATGATATGAATGTAGAATATGTGTAGATATTTAACGTCTAGGCTCTGACTTCATCCCAAACACCAAGTAGGGAGTAGATGATGTTTTTTCCCCTGGGAGCCTGCATGTCGATACTGGGGTTGATGGGACAGCTTTCAGGTGAGCAGTGTGGCAGCAGGCATAGCAGTTAGAGAGTGAGCAGACAACTGAAGGTTTAAGAACACTGCCGTGACTAAAAGGATGCTTTAAATCACTGGTTCTGAACCTGGAGCTCCTGACCCTCAGTAGTTGTTCCCAAAGCTTCACAGAGGTTTGTGAGGTCTTCTTAATTTTAAGGGGTGTAAGCAAACATTAGGTACTGCATCTCAGATTTTAATTTATTTTTGTGAAGAAAACTAAATAAAATGATCATTATTATTATTTTTTCAAATTTAGATTATTATTTAAGAAGAATGCGAGATACATTCACAGAGCCTTCACTCTTCAGGCGGCCGCAGGGTGAACAGCTTCACCTCCACTGTAATGTAATGGTAGCAGCAGTCTATGAGACAGATATTAAAAACCTTTGCAACTAAATCTCAAACTTTCAGCATTGTTAGATACCATTACAGGTAAGTTGTAATATATTTTTGTAATTTGGGTGAATTGGCCCTTTAAAAATATGGCCCAAACTACATCTTTGTTGAATGGCTCATCAAAAGCCTCAAACAGAACAATTGCACACTAACTTGAACTGTCATGTCCTGTCATATACCGGGGTATACACAGTAGCATGAAAGTAGTCCATAAAAGCCCTTATTTAGTCGTGGGGCTGCGTTGCATTATAATTTAGTGCTTTTAATATAGTTTCCTGTTAAAAAAACAACCTATTAGCTCAGATGTGTACTGTGTTGTTTTCAACCAAATAATGTTTTGCTGTATTACATGCCCTCTAACAAGAAAATGCCCTTCTTTTTTATCCCTTCCTTTGTTCATTTTTAGATTTTCAGAATAAATGTAAATTATAACCATGGTCACTTTTGTGGGTGAACATGTGCATCCACATACAGATTATTCATACCTAACATTGTCCTCATAGTCCAGTTTCCTCATGTTTGGGCTCCTCTCCATGCACTTTAAGGCAATGCAGATGATTGTTATGTTATTAACTGTATAATCCTGCTGCTACTCTTCCTGTGTCATGTGCCAAGTGTCTCACAGTATGTGCATTGCGCTACCATTTGTACATACAACTCATTATATATATAAGCTATATTGTAATTCTTCATTGATGTGTGTTGTTAGATTTGAAATATTCTAAAAGGTAGTGACTGGCTGATGAGCTGAAATGCATGCTGTATAGTTTGCTTTGTGTCTCAAAGCCACTGGTCAGGATTTGTTAGAATAAATAATGTGAAATTAAAATAGATAATGTGTTTTCAATATTAAATCTGTTCTATATCTAGTGCATATAGAGGATTTATTGCAGGCCAGTTCATGTCCAACTGTATAATTATCCACATGCAACATGCATCATTGTTTTGGTTGTTTCTTTTTCCTCCATGTGCTGAGTCTCTTTAGTAAATCTGCGATGCTCACCCCTGCATGTGAACTGTGGCCTGACCCTGGCTTTTTGTTCTCTAAACTACCCTCACCTGGAGCCGCAGCAGTCTCAGCGGAAACGTTATCATTGCAAGTGCAGCTGATGAGGCTATTTCTGCTAACCTTCTCAATGTGCTAAGCATTTAACCACAAATACTTTGTTTGACTGTGTTTTTTTTCCTTTGTGGGAGATTAAGAATTTCAAAATTGCCCATCATGTCTGCATTGCTTTGAAAGAGGCATGGTTTGGAATGGACTTTTGATTCTTGATTAATGCCAACTGGGATGTTGCCAATTGTGAATGTAGCTCACGCAAATTACACTTTTTATTGAAAGCTTTATGCCTGCCTTAAATGCATTTCTATCACCAACCCTTCCAAACCCATTACTTGTTCAACAAATGACTGAATGCAAAACCTGATCTGGAAGCTCTTTTTTTACCAAACTCTACTGACTTAAAGAGTGCAAAAGGTGTAAGGTTGGTGGCTGATTTGCATTAGTATACATAAAAACTCTCATTGGATGTCAAAACAAAACTGTAGTTTAATTTGTGAACTATTAAAACCTGATATTTAGTTCAATTAAATGTAGTCATTAATGTAAAGCCAATACACTTTCACTTTCCTATTACCACTACTTAAGTTGCATTTAAACACACAGTTCATATGGCACTGAAATGCACTTCCTGCTCCACTAACATACTGTCAGACTAGTATAGAAATTGTGGCTGGGTCTTTGCTCTCCACTGGAGAAGTGTCTATCTTGGGGTGAAGGTTTTCAGGGCCACAACGAACCGATTCCCATGTTCATGGTATAAAACCTTTCCCAGCCTCAAAGTGCTCTCTCCCAGTCTTAGCCATTTGGCATTATGGCCACAGACAACCACTACAGTCCCTTCTCTCTTGCTCATCACTGACACGAGCTGCTGTAGTGTTTGGCTGGGGTCATGACGGGCCACATGGCTGGGCTCCTTCAACCCCCCCCTGGCCTCCTCCCTCAGCCCTCAGTGTTTTTGGCCGTGGGTGTGTATGGTAACTGGAGCTTGCCCTTCCTCAGCATCACCCTCCACCTGAAGATCTCCTGCCCGTCGTCTCCGGCCATGCCAATGGGGCGAGGGATGGCCTGCCCCGTGCCCCAGGTCAAGATCGAGATGGAGTCGGACTACGACTCGGACATCGACCACCACCGCCCTCGGGACATGAGCAGTGAGACCACGTTATAAGGCGGAGGCTCGACGTCTTACTGACAGGACATGACTATGTGTGGGCAAACTACTCGATGCAGCCAGTGCTGACCCACGGACAGTACAGGGTGGAACAGACAGACTGACACCTGTGAACAACTGACACCTTCACAGACTGGCTGAAATGGGACCGATCCAATCAGTGCCACTGGAGAAGCTTCTGCTTTAACACTGGTGCATTTTTGTCAGATATTGCTTTGAATTATATATTAAAAACTAAATTTATTTATTTACATGTATGATGTAAATAGCCATAATAAGAGAGGAAATATTTATCTGTATGTGCTGTATAGGATAATATATTTGATGTGAAAATATTTATCTTAATACATACTTACTATATACTGAAACTGTGCTAATTACTCCAAATCCAAACTAATCTTGAAATCAGTATAACGTCAGAACTTATTGTACAATAATTCCACATCAGCTGTGTGAATGTGAAAACAGGCACCGTGTTAGTAAGAAAACCATTTGCCATGAGGTTGTAAAGTCTACTGTACAAAGCCATGCCTTCTACTGTACGTTAGCCTTTGTATATTTGTGTTTTGGTGTTTGTTTGAATATGTGCCACTGATCCCAGAGAACCACTCTCCTTGCCCCGTTTCCCTCCACTTCAACACTCCATATTGGCACATTAACCTGGAACAAAAAGAAACAACCAAAAAGTCCTGATGTTCTGATGTTGCTGAAAGGGATAGATTTATTGTGCAAGCTGTATCGGACAGGTTTATATTTGTTTTTACTCGCAAAGACTCTGTATGAGAAAATAATTAACCTCCACCACAACACTACATGCATATGACAATAGCAAGAGATGCACACACAATGGATATTCATGAACTGACAGATATAATTTATGTAATTAAAATTCCATTATTCCAAATGATGTGGCCTGTCTTGTGTTGAACATCATGATATTTTTCTCCTGTATCTATAGCATAACTGAGATATCTGTGACTT